CATAAGCTTTTGTGGGTGAATGCCCACTTGCGTCTGATGAAGTGGGCCTTCACCCACGAAAGCTTATGCTCCAATACTTCTGTTAGTCTTAAAGGTGCCACAGGACCCTCTGTTACAAAATTAGATGTAAACTAGTAATCACAAACATGTTCGATAAAGGGAGTAGTTTTTGTGACCCGACGATAGCCTCTGATCACGAAACAATGCAATCTGCAAGCTTATTGTGAATGGATACGAATATCTACGTTCACCAGTTTAACACAACAGTATGATTTGAAACCCAAATTTAAGGAACACACACAACTGTGCATACAGTACATCATACCATGTCAGGCTACCAAACTGTCGCTTCCAAGAATGAATTAATGGGTGCTATTCTGACCTCATGCTGCTGTAAATCAGCAGCAAATCTGCTGATTTTTAATGAGCCACTGGTGTAAAAATTGAATGAGTGAGAATTGGGTCTATAAAATCTATCACCATTCAGTAAAAGGTTTCCCTCTACAAGTGTATCATAATATAACAATGCTACTTAGCACTTGTCCAGCCATACAACTCAGAGATTTTTACAGAGGGTGGTGAGGCTCATGTTTTGTATTTTTACAGAAGAGGAAATTGAGGTGCAGAGAGGTTAAATGATTTATGCAAGGTCTCACAATCAGATCAGAGTTGGGGATAGAGCCCTGTTCTACTGTCTTCTAGACCCATGCCATGGGACTAATATATTTATTTAGATTTGTAAAACCAAAATACATTAAGCTTTTGTATTGTGTCTGATGTATATGTAGTGCATAAAAGTTTTATGGTTTCCTCCCATAACTGCATGTTTCTTTTGTGTAATTAAAAGTATACATATAACACTAATGTTTTTAAATGTGCCAGTGTAAAGTCTCAATTGTGCTGAGCAAACTTCCTATCTTTAGATTTCTAGTTGTCTTGTGAACAGTTCAGATATAGCACACAGACAGCATTCTTGGCCATTCTGCCTAAAGGACAGATCTTGGAAGGTTCCAAGGCCTTGAATTGCCATTCACTGCAACGGGAATTGAGGGTGCTCAGCATCTTGCAAGAGGCTCTCAGTATCTTGCAGGATCAAGTGCTGTTATAGCACTTCTGCTTCATCTAAAGGAGAGCAAGTCTGAATATTACCCATTTGTAGGACTATTCCCTATGTGTATGCTATTTCGGTACAGCATGTAGAATGACAGACTAAATTTGTTATGAGATATCACTTTTTTGCGGGGGGGAGAAGGGGTTGGAACTCCTTTTTCTGTTGTGTATTCCAGTTTGTCCATACTTCTATTGTAGTGTATATGTTTATCATTATAAACCTGATATAGATAGCAAGCTTTGATACAATTGAAATTAATGGAATGGGCTGTCTGTTATATTTGTTTTTCTCTTCGCTTGAAGCTAGAATCAAAGACAAGAAAGACTTATTCTGATAAAATCAATCCCAGCTTCCAGGAAACATTCAGGAAAGAAGAGGAGCAGAAACACCTTTTAGTTGATACTCATAGTGCAGCAATGGACCTGCATAAACAACTGGAGAATACTGAGAGAAACTGGACCAAAGAGAAGATGGAACTGCTGGAGAGATTTGACAGTGAAAGGAAGGAGTGGGAAAGTCAGTGGAAGGTCATGCAGAAGAAAATAGAAGAGGTACTTTGGATTTTTGAGTGTAAACAACACTGTAAAAATGAACATTTTTCTAAAGTCTTATCTGGTGGCCCAAGGCCACCTCATGGTTTTTCTCTCTGAACCATTTTCCAGTTCCGTGCCTGCCACTGTTTAATGGTTGATGGCAGGATTCAAGGTCTGAGCGCTGGGAGTATTTGAGATATTGTTAATTTTATAGCCATGGATAGAGAGTAAGAACTTGAGATGTCACTTTGAAGCATTGGTCTTAGGTCAAATTTGCTGCAGTATTGCTGGCAGTATATACCATAGCCAGAGATTCTGGGCACAGTGTGCATCGTACATGCGTTTTAAAAAGTAGCAGACATGTCTGTATGGGGCTTAGGTCATTGGCTCTCAACATTTCCAGACTACTGTATCCCTTGCAGGAGTCTGATTTGTCTTGTGTACCCCCAAGTTGCACGTCACTTAAAAACAACTTGCTTACAAAATCAGACAAAAAATAGAAAAAAGTGTCACAGCACACTATTACTGAAAAATTGCTTACTTTCTCATTTTATTATATAATTATAAAATAAATCAATTGGAATATAAATATTGTACTTACATTTCAGTGTATAGAGTAGTATAAACAAGTCATTGTATGAAATAGTTCGTACTGACTTTGCTAGTGCTTTTTATGTAGTCTGTTGTAAAAGTAGGCAAATATCTAGATGAATGGATGTACCCCCTGGAAGACCTCTGCATGCCCCCATGGGTATGCGTACCCCTTGTTAAGAACCACTGGCTTACGTGAATGCATGTTTATCAACAAAATTCTAATACAGGCATATTCTAAAATATACCTCTCTGGCTGGGATAAATTAGGCACTACTTTATTTGTTGACATCAAAGGGAATTCCATGAATCAAAGAATGAGTTGCTCAGGAAATGAGAAATTTATTTCTGCAAGGACCTGCTATATTTTCTGATGACATTTATTAGAAGAAAGGATTAAAGTAAACAAAGGCTAGACACAAAGAATATTACACCTGTTAGCGATCATTTACTTTCTATCAATTCTAATTCACTTCCTTTCAGGGATAGCGTAAGTAATTTATTTATTATTCTTTTACACCAAAGTTGTCATCTGAACAAAACCCTCTGCCACTTGCTAATGCACAAATTTATTCTAATATACATGAAAATATTCTCGCTTGCTTTCTGCAACCACTAGGAATGTAAGGAAGAGATTGTTCACATGAAAGGAAAATAATAAAATGAAAAGGAAAATGGAGCCAAATGACTCACAGACATATGCTGCTCTCAGGCTACAATGTAACTCTGTGATGTCTGCCTCCTATGTTTCAGCTGTAATTTCTATTTGATTTGAATATGATATTCTTCTCCACTTCCTGCCTTAAATGTGGTGATGTTGCTGTGATTTGTTAACTAGTTTCCTTGTTTTGCCACAGAAGTGACTACATTTCAGTGGTTAGTAACATGAGCCCTATATGTATATATATGCTGTTTGGGAAAGGAATCAGATTTCCTTTCTATCATTTACATCATCTAGATCAATGGAGCCCCAACCTGATTGGGACCTTTATATGCTACTGTAATATAAATAATAAATTATTATTACAATTAATAATCATCTGCTATTTTGTTAGTTGGCTCTATGGTGTTGGAGATGATGGGCCTAATTCTCAGTTACACTAAGGCCCTTTGACACAGCTCTTGCAGCGTAAAGGGACTTTAAAGTGAATGTAATTGTAATTTACACACACTGTAATGCCCCTTTATGCTGCCAGAGCAGCGTAAAGCAGCCATAGTGGGAGAATCAGGCCTGATAGCTTTTGAGTGAGATGTAATGACTGCTTGTGGTCATTAACAAGTCCACCTCGCTTTTCAACTGAAAATAGGAATGTGTAAACCTCAGTGTCCTAGCCAAATTCCCAACTCTAGTAATTGCATTCTACTTACCCGTATTTGCTATGCAGTTTCAAGCAGATGCAGTATTTTTCTTTTCTGCCTGTCTTAAATTGTGTTACAGACTGTGCTGTGCACTGTTAAAGAGCAGGTGTGTTTCAGCTCAGAAACGGCCATATCCCTTGTCTACCTCACATGGGTGTTGTGAGAATTAATTAATGTTGGTAAGGAGCTTTGGGATCTTTGCATTCAAGGGACTGTAAATGGAAGCCTTTGTATTATAATTCCCCAAATTAGAATATGCCAGAACACTTAAGTTAACAATGCCTTTGCTTTTACTAGTGGAGGCAGAGGATCTCAGGACCTCATCAAAAAGACACCAGCACATTACCATCCAACACCATCCTGGAATTTTGATTCAGTATTGATTCATAGAGAGAGTTTCACTTGTTTAAGACCAGCAGAATTTGCTGGAGCACATTGATGTTTCCTGGCAGTTTACCACCTAATTACTGACCCAGCTCAGAGGTGCTTAACTTGTGAGATCTTCTGGAACCCCATTCCATAGCTCTAAGCCATAGATTAAAATATAGCGAAGATTTGGGGAATTGTAAAAAACCTTCTCCACACCTTGTGACAATAGAATGGTCCATTGGCCATTCCACTTAGGACTCAGCATGTCTTAGCTAAAAATACATATAAAATCTTTCAGCCCATAAGTGATTTTACTGAATGAGATGCTTAGGAGCTTTGTAACACAGTTAAAAACAGACAATAAATATGGTCCTTTATCCTACAAGCTCATAACTCTACTTTGATTAAATAGGGTGTTTTATTGCCTTTTCAGCTTTACCAGGAGGTAAAACTAAGGCGGGAGAGCAATATGAATGTCCGGGATAATAAGGCCATTCAAAGCAAGATGCTGCAGCTATCTGTATATTCCCCTACTTCAGAACGGAGTGACACAGCAGAACTGAACTGTCGACACAACTTGGCAAATGGCTGGATGGAAGAAAAGAGTTTGTTCAGTAACTCAGAACAAGAATGTAAAGAAACTAGAACTCAGAGGAAAAGCAATGTTTTATTAAGGAACAGTCTGGCCTTTGACAACCAGGAGAAATATGAAGACCTCCTCAGCTTGAAAACTCCTAAGAAAGATACCAGTAGCTATGCGGGTGATCTCAATGCAGTAAGTACGACAGTAACAGTGTTTCAGCAAATGTGGGGAACATGATGAAATCCTTCTCTCTCTACCCAAAGTATATGTCCTCTGAGTCTCAGGCAGTGGCATAGCCAGGTTCTAACATCAGAGGGAGCGAACACATAAAAAAGGCACCACCTGACATATCAAATTACTAATTACATACTTTTAAATTCGTTATGCATATTTATTTGTACTTAAAATAAAAACACAAGAATTATCCAGCCATGGAAGGGTTTGCACAGCCGGCATTTCACAGGAGAGCTTTAGATTATACTTAGATATATTTTAGATTCTAGAAAGTAAATCACAGAATACAGTAGTTTGTAATTGTCACCCCTCGCCCCCGGAGCAGAGCAGCGGCTCGGCTGTGGCAGAGTCATTCCCCGGGCTGCCACTGCTCGTGGAGAAAAGATGCCACTGAAGAGAGACCACGAGAAAAAAACATCCCTCCTCCCCCCCTTTTCCTTCCTTCTCCACCTCCTCCGCTGGCACCAGCTGGGCTTCAGACCCACCAGGA